TAAGTGTGCCTAAGTTGAGATATTTCAGGTTGACATTTGGCTAACAAAATGAACATACTCTGGAAATCAAATCTATAGTTAAAATAATTGTTTTCTCGAATAACTCATCTGTATTGTCTTCCTCTTCATTATCAAAACACATCCCTAAACACCAGTGATATTCAAAATACCTAATCATTGGTGTGGCATGGAGCATTGACCTATCAGAACATATGTTTTCACTTTTGTCAGGTGTGAGCCTTTTAGGTGCTGGATGCTGGAGAAATCAGGGTCTCAGGGTGGGGATGAAGAGAGCATCTGGGGAAGGAGTGGGCCCAGGATAGCAATTATTTGTCAATAACTGCTGGTACATTTCTGTAGCATTCTGTACTAAATCATTTCTATATTTTAACAGTCTCAGACAAATGTCAATCTTGCTAAAAGTTCATTTATATTAATAGGAATTATGAGAATCATGGTGCTTAGAAATTTAGATGGTTCTAATCTAGTGGTAGAATAGAAGGGTTTAGAAATTTTCCCAACTATTGGAAATAAGTCTCAGGCTTGCCAATTAATCTGTAATTTAAGCATGAATATTTCTAGCCCTTCTAGTCATTGGAATAAATGAGAGGAAAGGTTAATATTTTTATGTCCCCAGTACTTCATAAGCTCATTTAATTCTCTCAGTAACCATGTAGGAAAGTATAATCTTTTGTGAGGGGCTGCCATTAACAAAGTATCACAGACTGGGTGGCGTAAACGATAGATATTTATTTCCTCAAAATCCAAAATCAAGGCGTCAGCAGGGTTGGATTTATTCTGAGGTCATTTTCCTTGGGTTGTAGGTGGCCAATGTCGCTGTCTTCATGTGGCCTTCTCTGTATGTGTTTGTGTGTGTGAGTGTGTATGTGTGTCTGTGTTCAAAGCTCCTCTTTTTATAAAGACACCAGTGATGTTGAATTAGGACTTGCCCTAATGACTGCATTTAGCCTTAGTTACTCTTTAAAGATCTTATCTCTATAGTCACATTCTGAGGTAATGAGAGGACACAATCTGGACCATAACAGGAAGTTAGTAATATCTTTCCCCACTTGTAAGTTTCTAAAAATACTTTTAAATCAATTTTATTAAAGTATATCTTATATACAAAAACATACCTAGTTTATGTGTATAATTTGCGTTTTGGCAAATATATACACACATGTAGCCAACACCATAATCAAAAGTAGTTTCCTTGTGCTTATTTCCTGGCAGTTCGATTCCTGGCTCTGGGCAGCCGGTGGTCTGATTTCTTTTCTAGCGTTTCATACCATGAAGCCATGAGGTATGCGCTCCACTGTGTCTAGCTACTTATGTGCTGCACAATGCATATTGTTTTTGAGATATATCCATTTAATTGGGTATATCAGTAGTTTCATTTTATTGCTGAGTGGTATTCAGTTGTATGACTACAACATAATTTGTTTCTTTATTGTTTATAGCTTTAGGCCAGCATGAATACAGCCACTATGAACATTTGGTGATAGGTATTTGTATAGCCAGGATAAATGTGTTTATTTGTCTTAGGTAAATATATAAAAATGGCAATCATATGAGACCTATATGTTTAACTTCTAAATAAACTGCTAAATTGTTTTCCACATGGTTGTGCAAGTTTACATTCCCACTAGCAACACAGGAGGTTTTTAGTTTCTCTATATTCCCACCAACACTTGGCATCAGTGGCCTTTATAATTTCAGTCATGCCTGTGGCAATGTCGCAGTAGCTCACTGTGGTTTTACATCTGCACTTTCCTGATGACTAAGTGATATTGTGTGTCTTTTCATGTGTATATTGACAAGTCATACATCTTCTTTTGTGAATTATCTATTCAAATATTTCCCCCATTTTTTGGTGAATTGTGTTCTTATTTTTTTCATTCCATACATATCCTATATACAAGCCAGTTGTTATATATATATATATATATATATAGAGAGAGAGAGAGAGAGAGAGAGAGAGAGTAAATCATCTATTCTTTGACTTGTATTTTTCAGTTTATTAATTCCCATTTAAAACGCAGAAATTTTTAGTTCTGATAAAATTCATCATTTTGTTTCCAGTTTTAATTTTTTTGTATCTTAGGTAGGAAATTTTAACTGATTCTAAAGAAGGCAAATGTTATAGATTTGGATTTAATGTTTAAGTTTATGACACATCTTGAGTTATATTTGTGTGTGGTGTGGGCTAAGTGTTGAACTTTTTTTGTTTTTGTTTTTGGTTTCTGTACTTGGGTATCCTATTGTACCAAGCCATTTATTGAAAAGACTGCATTTTCCTCATTGAATTACTATGGCACACTTCTAAAAAAATCAATTGACCATAAATGTGTGTATATATGGGGGGAAAGCACTTATTTCGGGAATCTCAATTTTGTTGCACCAATTAAATTCTATTCTTAAGTCAGTACCATTTTGTCTTGATTCTTGTAGCTTTATATTAAGTCTGTAAATCTAGTAGTATATCCTCCAACTTTTTGCTTTAAAAAACTTTTAGCAATTCTAAGTACTTGCATTTCCATATAAACTTTGGAACCATCTTATCAATTTTTGTAAAAAGGAGAGCTGAATTTGGATTGGAATTGTAATGAATCTATACCTCAATTTAAGTGCAAATGACATCTTAGTGATATTGAGTCTTTTAATCCATAATCCAGTATTCTTTAATTTCTCTCAGAAGTTAGACAGTTTTAAGTGTTCAAGAAGTGCATATGTTTTGAAAAATTTATCCCTGAGAATTTTATATTTGTTGACATTATTCTAAGTCATATTTTAAAAAATTTTCGATTTCCATTTTTTTGTTACTAGCAAAAGATATCAGTTGATTTTGCGTATCAATCTTGTATCCTGCAAGATAACACATTCAGTTATTAATTCTAGTAGCCTTTTTTGTAGACATCAGGATTTATGTATAATCTTTTCATCTTCCTTTCCAATCTATAAGGGTTTTTTTTTTTCTTACATGTTATTGCATTGGCTATAACTGCCCTGCTATGCCACCAGGCCGGAACAATGTTAAATATAATAGGTAAAAGTGAATATGCTTACTTTGTTTCTAATTTTAAGGAAAAGCATTTAGATTTTTACCATTTATGTAAGAGTTAGCTGTGGGTTCTTCATAAATGTGCTTTATCAGATTGAGGAAGTTATCTTTTAATCTTAGTATAATGAGAGGTTTTATCATAAATAAATATTAATTTTGTCAAATGCTTTATCTCCATCTATTGAGATACAGTTTTTCTCCTTTACTCTGTTTATATGTTGAATCACAATCCCAATGATAGATTTTCAAATATTAGACAAGTTGGATTCCTGGAATAAATCTCACTTATTATTTTTAATTTGATAGATTTGATTTGCTAAAATTTAGTTAATAGTTTTGATGTTTTTGTACATGTGGGCTATTAGTCTATAGGTTTTCTTTTGTAATATCCTTGGCTGATTTTATTATCAGGTAACATCAACATCATGGAATTTGTTGTAAAGTACCCATACTTTTTATCACTTCTGACTTAGTCTATTGTCATTAATAAATTTTTCTTAGGGTTTATGGTTCACAATTTACTTCTCTGGGCATGTATTTAATTTTGGATTAAATGGTGGATATCTAGACTTTCATGTTGTTGAATTGTTGTTATGCTACGTTTTGTTTTCTTTATAAAAGTTTGTCAGGCTTTGCTCTGGAAGTCTGTTAAATGTTGTGTGGATTAGCTTAATTCTTGCAAGGCTACTTTTAAGCTGTGTTAGGGCTTATCTAGAGATGTTTTTAGGGGTATTTTAGAACAACTACTAAAATATGACTATTCCCAGGACATTAAGGTGACCAGCGAGGATTTTTGAATACGGTTGACCAGACCTTGAATGTTTCTCAACTCCATATAAGACCTAGAAATTTTCAGCATACAACTATTTAGTTGCCCTTTCCCAGTTGTTCCTTTCTTGGTCTCATGAAGTTTTACCCTCCATGAGTGGGTATAGGAAGTGTGTTCACACCTTCCTATACCATTATTATCAGATACAAAATCACCTTTATAGATTTTTCTTTCATTTGAGGTCTTTCTCTCTGTAGCCCTCTCCTCCCTGGTTCCATTCTCCACAAACTCCAGCCACTTTTGTCTCCTGGTTCCAATTGCTGTCATCTCAACTTAAAAAGACTCTCAGGTTCTAATTAGGGATCTTCTGCTATACAGCCAGTCTGGAATTTGTCAGGGCATTCATAGTACTCATTTGTTTTGTTTCTCTTTGCTCATGAATCCCAGTTCAGCTCTTCTTCTTGTCTACTGTGTGAAATAGCTGTTCATTTTTCAAACTGTACAGTGAGGTAGGCCTGGTCCCCATTTAAAATTATGCCCTGGAACATAATGCTTTCATCCCTTTTTATAGATAAGCAAACTGAGGCTTAAAAAGACCAAGTAGTGTACTGATGGAGAACAGGGATTTGAGCATACATTGGAATTCAAATTTTTCCCATTTACTAGTTGAACAACATTGGGCAAGTTACTTAACTATCTGCTTTCATTTTCATATCTTTACAAGGTGGATATTTTGGATGCTGCTACTCATATATAAGGAATAGTTTCTTACTATTTTGTTAACTGAGATGGTGACTGCGAAGTTTTCTGCACAGTTCCTGGCACATAGTGAATGTTGGATTGGGTGTTACTAACTAATTATATTGCCCATGATCACTTTGCTAGAATTTTTTTAAAAGGAAAATATGATTTTAAATAGTCATATTTTCCTGCTTATTTTTAAACGTCAGAATTCTTGGTCAGACTTGAAAACACTTAAACAGTTCTTGGAAGCTTTAAAATTATTCTTGGTGACCTTGATTTTGGTAGAATCTCTGACTTCAAATTCAGGAATGTAATATTGATGGCAAGATTAATATTTTCCCTTATTTGTCAAAAGTCATTTTCTTTAGAAAGTATTTAGAAAAGAAAACAAGTATATTCAAGCCAAAAAGACAAATTCTCTAGAAATAGGGGCAGGGTATACTCATTTAGTGAAACATGAAAAGTCCTGTGTGTGTGGAGAGATTTTAAAGAAAAGATCAAGGGAGAATCCATCACAAATTCTCCATGAAGAAGACACATATAATTTAATTAATCACAATGATGGATATCTTTAACATTAGGCAATAATTGACAGTTTCATAGTAGTGAGAATATAGTCACTCAAAATACAATTTTTAAACATCATATTCTGTTTTCAGAATCTCATAAAATCTTGGATCACCACAAGTAGAACTCAACAGAGAATAATCAGGCAAAAAAATCAGGCAGGTTCATCGTTGAAGGTTTGAGTATGTCCTCAGTTGATACTCATAAATTTAAATATGGCAGGTAGACAAAAAATAACACAGGTTTGTCAACCATATGTAAAAGAATAGTTCAGCTCAACAAGGGGAATTCAGAATCCTCTCTCTGCTGGCTGAGCCTGTGTGTGCCAGCCAACAACATCCACTTAGTCTCAGGTGACAACAGTGCCAGTTAGTTAGCTTTTGTTTGTGTTTTGACTATTGATAGACTTAAATTATATTCATATTGTCATGCAGAACAAACACATAGAAAGTCTTGCCTTTGATCTAAATACAGGCACTTCTTTGTTGCAATGACGTTTGAACTGTATATCAGAATAACATGCTTATAATAAGCCAGGCATAAAAAGTAGATTATCTAGATCAGATAATTAAAAACCATCTGATTAATGATAATTTTGGCTTGAAAACAAATTATCCTATCTCAACAGAAATTTAAGTTAGTTTACAAAAATACAGATCTTACCTTTGAGATTGATATAAAATGCCATGGTCATCTCTGTAAACATTTCAATCCTCCTTTGACCTTTTTGAAAGATTTAATTCTGTAGTTGTTAGATTAATGCATATTCTTTGTGTGCACTTCTTGAACTGAATAAATGTTATTCTTTTCTGACATTTTTCCCTCTTCCTGATTCTTGTAAACTCTTTTCTAACAATGCTCACGAAATGTAGAGAAAATGGTTTCTCTAGTATCCAAAATAACATATTCCTTGTAATTTTAATTGCCTAAGAGTTCATTTCTTGGCAATATGCTGTATGGCAACATGGCTTTTGCTGAAGAGCTCAGTAAATCATCCAGGGGTGCTGGGACTTTCTTTTTTTTTTTTTTTTTTTGAGATTGAGTCTTGCTCTGTCACCCAGGCTGGAGTGCAGTGGTACCATCTCAGCTCACTGCAACTTCCACTTCCTGGGTTCAAGCAGTTCATGTCCCTCAGGCTCCAAAGTAGCTGGGACTACAGGCGTGCGCCACCACACCAGGTAAATTTTTGTATTTTTGATAGAAGTGGGGTTTCAACATGTTGGCCACACTGGTCTCAAACTTAGATATTTTTTTTTCTGAAAACAAATACTCTCTGATTGGCATGCTCCAGTCACTGGCTCACCACTTAAAGACTTCTAGGTTAGAATTAAGCATGGGCACAACAGCTCAAAGTGAAAACATACATAGTGAAGATCCTTGCCTTTTTCTCTCCTCTCTTCCTTTCTTTTTTTTTTCTACTTCCCGTCAATCTCAAAGAGACACCAGTAAGAAATATAGATATGCTTATGCTTGCTTGGTGTCCTTGGTTAGAAATAGTCCAAACATCAGGAAACTAAAATCGAGATGATTATATAACTCGTAAAGATGGAAGTTGTCAAGTATATTACACAAAACAAGTTTTAAAAAGCTATTTTAAATACAAGATTCTATCTCCACCAAACTGCCCTCAGATCACTAAGATAATTTAGCATCAAAATCAGCTTAGATAATCATAGGTTAAAGAACTGCCACTAGCAGCTCATCAGTTCCAAAGCTTTCCAAAAAATCTCAACCAACTTGACACTTTGATCTCACGTGTCAAAAAGTGGTCATGTTTGACCTGTTAGCTTTTAACAGAAGAATTTGCTCCTGATGGAGTGGCAGCTATAATCATATGGTATTTTTAGAGAAGTGATACACTGAAAAATAATATCATGATTATGTATTTATAAAGTCTTGGTTTTCTACAAACTGGAGGTTTAGCAATGATTGCTAGAACAAGTAATTATGTTACTAAAAGAAATAAAAAATGCATGGAGATAATATCAATCAAATGAGTTAATGAAAAATCATGATCTTATTATCTTAATTAATGCAGTATAGTGTTATAAATGCCTTTACACTTACATCTTCATCTCATAGTATGAATGACAAATAGAAAGACCAAAGAATTGGTCAATCACTATCCCCCTAACAGACTCTGATACGTGAATCCTATGTCCCTTTCTCATTTATTACAGATGAGTTTCATTAGTGAGTTCATATATTCTAACAATCCATCCAAAAATATTCATAATTACAGGAAGACAATACCACTGCCATTTTCACAGTCATGTTGTGGTATTTTTAGTGTATTGAGTACAGTAATTATTTATTAAAATAACACACAAAAATAGGAATAAAATATTTATATGTACAAAATAGCATGGTATGATTTCTACCTAATATTTAATAATATACATGCAAATGTTCCCTGCATTAACATAGCAGTAAACAATAAATACAAACAGTAGTTAATATAAGAAAACCAAGAAAAGTCTTCATGGATAAAAATTCTTGGCCCTGAAAACTTTAAACTTCAAGGAAAGGCATGCCTCTCAGTGAGCCCGCCTCCTGGGCTGTCAATTCACTGCTCACAAATTACCCTCCTAAAATTCCTTTTCCTACGAATGCTCCTATATATGGAATAATGTAATTTTTAAATGTCAGAGGACCGGAAAGTCCCAGGGCTTCTTTTGATTCCATCAAATTATTGCAAGTGAGCTGGACATCACTTTACTGGGATAGACAACTGGTACAGGCCAGCAGCAGGTATGGAAGTCAAGATTGATTCTGCAGGACTTTCTCCTTTTTCACCCTTGGAGCATAGAAGCTGAAGATTAAGCCTGTGAGTAACAAAAACAACAACAAAGTTCAGCTTCCAAGAAAAGGAAGAAGAAATAGAGATGCTGGGGGAGTCCATCTCTTAGTAAGAAATGCTTGTCGCTAGCTCAATGTTTTCCACCTAGTAGAATCACTTGACTGTCTCTCAAGCACTTCAAACTTGACACACCTGAAAAAAAAAGCGCCGTTTTCTTTCCCATACCTATTCCCTTCACTCCATAATCTCAATCTTTGCTATTTCCTCCACGATGCATTCAGGCACCCAGGCTGGAAGTGTGGGTATTGTCTATAGTTTTATTCTTCCTCATTCCCCATTGGGCTCAACTAGTTAATCACCACATCATGAAATGTTTACCCTCCAGACATTTTTCTCTGTTCTATTCTGCCTCTTCATCTTCCTCCCTACTGTAACTCCCTAGCTCAAGCCTTTGTCTTTTTCCAGTGGAATACTGCAATAGCCTATGACTTCTCTGCTTCTGGCCTTGCTCTTCTTGAATGAGTCTTCCACATTAAACACACACTGGTGTGTATCAAGCACAAATCTCATATTTATCTTCTAATTGAAGCCTTTAACTTTACCCCATCACTAATGGGATACAGTTCAAGATCTGTTGCTTGGGGTGACAATGGGAGTAATCAAGAAATTTATGGGCAACTTTCAAGCTTTGCTGCTGTCTACTCATCAGGGCAAAGAATGAATAGGCAATTTGCCACTTCTTCCCAGGAAAGATAGCCAGGCCTTTGGTTTATTATTTTACAGCTTTCTTTGCAGTGTAGAAACAACTTTGTGTTGGTCTAAAAAAGAGCAAGAGATGGAGACTTCTGTGTCCCAAGTAGGAAAAGGGCTATAGCCTAACCTGGAAAAGATTAGAGGGTGTTGTGTTGCTGAGGGCAGTGCTGGTAGTTTGCTAGGGTCTGGGAAGTGCATGATATGGTGTGTGGGGGAAGGTGTGGGGAGTGGTACTAGTGGCGGAGACCTGTAACCAACTCTTTCCTGGTTTGATTGATGAAGGCAAGTCCTTTGATAGGGATGACTGAACTGTTGCTTTACATGAGGGAAATTTGGACATTGGCTGCCATGGCCTGGGGTGGCAGCCACAAGTATCCATGTCAAGTCTTAAGATGTGGAAAGGATTGGAGAAGGGGATATATGTGACTTCCAGAGCATTCGTAGTTGGTTGGTGGTCGAGCACATGCCGGAGCATGGTGTAGCATAAGTACCATGATTAGAAGGATGATTGCAGACAAGGCATCTCCCTCAATTATTGAACTAGTTTTCTAGGCATATTTTATATCCAAGGTCAAGCGAGGGGTTCTCAAGTGACGAATGGCTTCTTTTAAAATTTTTTTTTCTTCTTTCTTAACTTTTATTTTAGGTTCAGGGGTATATGCATAGGTTTGTTAGATAGGCAAACTGCATGTCACGGGATTTGTTGTACAGATTATTTTGTTACCCATGTAATAAGCGTAGTACCTGAGAGTTAGTTTTTTGATCCTCGCCCTCCTCCCATCCTCTAACCTCAAGAAGGCCCCAGTGTCTGTTGTTCCCTTCTTTGTGGATAAAGGACTTTTTGATGTCATTAGTGAATGAAGAAAGTTAGTGCTTCATTCCAGCCTCGTGAAGTCCTTCATGGTTTCCCTTGGGAAACAAGGCTTCCTTATGATCTAGTACTCTCTGCTACTTGAGCCTTGTTTCCCGGCCAGGCTGCTATTGAATTAGATTCTCTAGGCCAGCGCTTCTCAAACTATCTATAGTGAAGGACAATGTTGGTTTCTAACAACATTTAATCAGCAATAAACAGACATTTAAAAAATACAATAATATAGATTGAATGTTGCAGCAGTATCAGATTACTGTAACAATTTTTAAAGCTTTATCATTTCTTTCATATACTATGCACTGTCACAATTCTTTTCTTCTTTGTACATGCTATTCCCTGTGCCTGGAAAATCTTTCCTCTCTTCACCTAGGCCACCTTTTTTTTTTTTTTTTTTTTTTTTTTTTCTCATTCTGTAAGTCTCAGCTCAAATACCATGTCTAAGAAATTTGTCACTAAACTTCACGGTATTATGTCTGTCTTTACATACCACTATGTTGTTTATCATCTTATACTAAAACTATTTTTCTTATGTGTTTTTCTTTCCACTTCTATAAGCTCCTTGAGAACTGCAACCATGACAAGCTCTCTTTATACCTGAACTAATACTTGATGAGGACTAAGGTCTCAATCACTTTTTGTTCAACTGAGTCATACTCCTCCATAGATGAGTTTCAAGTGAAGTCAAGAGTTTGTAGCATAGTTCAACTGGTAAACATTGGAATTTGTGCTGATAGGATAATGCCCATGATTGATATTGTTTTGATTATTTTCTCAAAGATCAGCAACCTAAATAACAAACTGTAATTTCATCAGCATGCACTTCATGTTGACTATCTTTCTCAACAAATAAATCTTGCACTTCATGTTGACTATCTTTCTCAACAAATAAATCTTACTTCATTAGTGATTTCTTTACATCTATTCCAGTATCAGTCTTTGCTTTTTTTCCACATTATAATCCTTCTAAAATTAGTGTGTTGGCTTCAATAATAATGATAAAGGACTGAATAGTCACTGAATCTCTCACAACCTAAAATGTAATATATTTTTGATTTTTATAATGAATAAATGACTATTTTATAGTAATAGTTCATAAGTTCATAATAGGTTTCTTCAACACTACTGACAACAATTTATAAACAAAGAATCAGAATAGCCATAAGAAAAAAGATCATTTTGTCTTGATTTTATAGATGTGGAACCCCGTGCAGAGCATTATTAAGAAATTCATTCAGGGTTACAGAGTACAATCATAATATACAGTTGGCCTTCTGTACCTGTGGGTTCTATGTCCACAAATTCAACCAACTGTGAATTAAAAATATTCAAAACTAGTAAAAATTAACAATACATTTTTAAAAATACAAATAAACACATAGTATAACAACTAGTTATATAGCGTTTACATTGTATTAGGTATTAAAGGTAATCTAGAGATGATTTAAAGTACTACATGAGAGAATTTGTGCAGGTTATATGCAAATACTGCACAACTTTATTTATATCAGGGACTTGAGCAACCATAGATTTTGGTATCTCCAGGGCTTTTAAATCAATCGTCCTCCTCCATGGATACAGAGAGACAACTGTAAATCTCTTTTTTAATGATGTTTTCCTTTTAGCTTGTGCTATTTCTTAAAATGAAAGAAAAATAATTGGTAAACATGTTAAGCTCTTCTGGAAGTTCACAAAGATACTCTTAGATTATCAGGGTACATTTAGAAAGTTACAGAAATATCAGGGAATTGTACCTTGGAGAAAAACAGAAATGGCTAACAATCACCATTGCTGAGGGTCTGTGGGAACAAATTGTCATAAAAGCTACAGGACTTTCTAACAGTACAGTTCTTCACTTGTCTGAAACTGCCTCCACTCTTCAGCCTTCCAAGGTGTTTTGGAACAGAAAGAAGATGAGACCTACTGGTGAGGGAGCAAGCAGGTAGCAGCAGATTCCTCTTTGACAACGGCACAGAGCTGGTCACAGAACAGTTAAATGGCTATCTGTTTAAAATTCTTATTTTCCCATTTAATATTACATTTTAGACATGTTTTCATGTTATTAAAAATTATTTGGAGAATTATTTGTACTCATTGTATAATGTCATTGGGCAGACTATAATTTATTTTATAATTTCCATATCATTAAACATTTAAGCTGTTTCTACATGTTTGCTGCCACTCTTATATATGATTTCATGCTCCCATGAGGTAAAGCTTTGCAGAAGGCAAGGTTCATAGCTCATAAATGTTTCACAATTCCTGTCCACCCTGCAGAATCACATTAAACATAATGCTGTGGAGGAAATTGATGATCAATGCATGAAGCAATAAGCATTACATATATCTAGAATCTTGTTTTGACATGGAAATTTTTAACATAAGTGATTATTTCTGTATTACTGTTTGCTATTGCATCAGGGTTCAAGGCTTTTTAACTTCTTTCCCTAAATCTTCTAGGTTTGATGAATTCATTTCTATTTATTCTGAATCCCCAAGTTGATATCTAATTTCCAGTTGACAACCTAGACAGTAGTTACTCATTGGTTATTAAATTCAAAGTACAGTGATAGAAATATGTTAAAGAAAAAAGTGAGACAGACAATAGAATTGACAGATGTCAAACTTGTTTCTTCCCATTACTTTCTGATCTTTACTCTTTAGAACATTGTTATATAATTCCAAAATTACAAAGAGGAGCAACAAAATTTATTTAGCTCTTCAAATCAAAAGCCTTGAAATCTGAGGCCAGGAATATTTTTTAAAGTACAAAAATGGAAAGGAATGGGAGTTGAACAAAAATTACTTTTATTAAGTGGTTTGAAGGTTGACACTGTTTCTTGCCTTCTATGCACCTTTTCTTTCTTTCTTTTTTTTCCAACTGCAGACTTGCTTTCTCCAAGTTGGACAATTAGTTACTAATATTTGAGCATTTTGGTCATTTAGAAAACCCTTTACTAGCCACTGGGTTGCAAAGCAACTATAGCAGATATGGAAGGAAGCTTTTCATGTATCAGCTAGGGCTGGACAATGTATCTCACCCTCAGCTTCCCAAACTTTGCACCTGAAAGTGTCCATTGCATAGAATCTGCAAACTTCCAGTTCCAATTTTTTTTCTTTCAACCTTTTTAGAAGGGGTACATCTGCAGATTGGTTACATGGGTAATTACATGTCATAGTGGTTTGTTGTACAGACAATCCTGTCACCCAGGTAATTAGCATAACACCAAATTGGTAGTTTTTCAATACCCACTCCCATCCCACCCTCCCCATTCAAGTAGGCCCTGGTGTCTACTGTTCCCTTCTTTGTGCCTGTGTGCATTCAGTGCTTGACACTCACTTATAAATGAGAACATGCAGTATTTGGTTTTCTGTTCTTCAGTTACTTCACTTAGAATAATGGACTCCAGGTTCATCCATATTGTTGCAAAGGAAATAATCTGGCTCTCTTATATGGCTGCATAGTATTCCATGGTGTATGTGTATCACAGTTTCTTTATCTAGTCCATGGTTGATGGGCATCTAGGTTCATGCCACATCTTTCTTATTGTGAATAGTGCTGTGATGAACATACATGTGCATGTGATTTTATAGTATAACAATTTGTATTCCTTTGGCCTATATCTAGTAATGTGACTGCTGGGTTGAATGGTAGTTCTATTTTAAGTTCTTTGAGAAATCTCCAGGCTGCTTCCATAGTGATTGAACTAATTTACATTCCCACCGGCAGTGTATGAACATTCCCTTTTCTCTATAACCTGGCCAGCATCTGTGACTTCTTGACACTTTACTGATTGAATTCTGACTGATATGAGGTGGCATCTCACTGTGGTTTGGATTTGCATTTCCCAAATGATTAGTGATATTGGGCATTTTTGCATATGCTTGTTGGCCCTGTGTATGTTTTCTTTTGAGAAGTGTGTGTTCATGTCCTTTGTCCATTTTTTAATGGGATTGTTTGGTTTTTGCTCAATGATTTGTTTAAGTTCCTTGTAGATTCTGGGTATTATACCTTTGTCAGATGCATAGTTTGTGAACATTTTCTCCAATTCTGTAAGTCATCTGTTTACTCTGTTGACAGGGGAAGGCAGTCTTGCCTCTTTTCCATAGGGCACTGCAGCATGCTGGAGGTGCACAAACTCCAGGATTCCTAATCTATCCCTAATTGCTGGCTAGAGAGGGATAAAATTCTGATACTGACGCATGTTTGAATGGCACTCTTCTGTCTCTGTCTTCTGCTATTGGCCAGACAAGCACAGCAGGCACCATTTATTCAGCAAGAAATTGCTAAGCGTCTGTAACAGCACAATGTTAGTAGTTAGACAGTAGACACAGGCCGTGAATACAAGATTTCTCACCATAGACACTTTACCTAGAATGACTACCATTGTGGGCCGGCCAATTCTGCGCATGTATTTATTTATTTTATTGTATTTTTTATTGTTACCTTCCAAAGGGTAGATTCTTCTGCATGTTCTATAAAACATCAAAAACTAATTGTGGAAACACTTAAGCTACACTTCTTGTAACAATTGAATGAAAGTCAGAGGAACATTTCCTTACCCACTACTAGGAAAGTAAAAGGCAATTCCATACCAACTGGGACAGTTAATTCCAAAGCAGGTTTAACATTGGCCTGAGCTGTTTTACTAAAATAAGAAATGTACCTGCCTTGAGCTGACTCTTGGTCATGACATGGAATATACTTTTGAGAAATTTCCATTTTTATTGATTCACAATTATTGTAGTAAGATTAATCATTTGTATTAATCATTTTGTCAACATATCTGGAAGGCTCTGTCGCTTGGCTGGTTACATAGCAGGAATATGTCTACATCACCAGCTGAGTTAAAGGTAACCTGGCTGAGACTGAATTCTAGGTCATCTTGTTGGAGGTGTTTTTTCCACACATCCATGGACCCAGAGAGAAAATGAATCCTGGTAAGGTCCTTATAGAGAGAGGGTAATTAGACCCTTCACCTAGCAACTCTGAACCCATTTCCCTGAGCCAGCCTATGGTGGTGATACACATCTTTAATGAAGTTTCTAGATTTTATCATTTTCCTGCAATAAACTGCAAATTTGCAAGCATTGTCACTTAGAACCTGTGAGTCTTTGTTAGCAACAAAAGCCTGTCTGATTTCCACAGTTAGTGTGTGCTTATTGACCTAGGTAGTCTGACTGAGTTTACAAGGAAACATTATCAGCAGGCAGAGCAAACTGTATCTATCATTCCTTCAATAGGCAAGACAATTGGACAAACTGGCTACAACTACCAAGTCATTCATTTTTTGGCAATCTTTTTTATAGAGTTTGTTTTTAGACAAATAGACAATGATGGTTGCACTGACACAAACCATTAACTTTTCAGCTTTTGAAATTCTTTAAAAATAATCTAAGCTGCAGCAGGGTAATAAAACAGATATTAATGAATGTCTCTGTAAATGAAACTGGGAAACTTACGTAATTATTGCCTAGGTGTGGGGAGGTTTCCTCAAGCTGTCAGTTCTTGGTTTTTCCTTGTGCAGAGTGCTCACCTGAGAACAGGAGATATGTTTTGATCTATAAGCTCAGAGACCGAGTAAGGATGGAAATAAAGTTTCCTAGCTTGTTTTCCGTTTTTCAAGGAAAGTTTTATTCTCCTGCAAGAATATCATTAGAGCCACAGTTTGCCTCTTGGTATTGTCTGGAAATCAGTCACCAAAATATAAGAGATCTTTCTAGCCATCGTCTGTTTTCACTCCAAAGTAGCAATATGAAGTCCTGGGTGGGGCAGGTCAGAGGAGAGTGGGGGCCAGAGATGTAAGCTGGGAGATGATACCATCAGAGAAACCCTGGGGAATAAGTATTGATTTTTGCTTGTTGCATGAGCTGGCTCTGCCTAAGCAAGTCCATATCATATTTTTAAAGTGCCATTTTATCAGGAAGACATTCTAGCATCCTTCTGCTTAAATAATTCAGTGAGGGTTTTGTGAAAATGAATTTATAGGCCAATATGAACACTTGGGTGAGGTACAGAGCAGCATGGGTGCCATTACTCAAAATCCAAGTGCTATTCCACCATCCAATATACAGAGAAATATTAATCTAAAAAGATGGCAAGCTGAGAGGCCCCCAAGTATTTTTTTACCTGCCACTGGATTCGTGGCCAATGTATTTTGCATTCTTTGTGTCCTTCAGGTAGAATCGAGTATCAACATCAGTCTCACAATATAAAAGAAATATAAGTTATAATCTCCAGCTTTTAGAATAAATCATCATTTTGCTCCAGCTTTTATCTGCCAGTTGTTATGAAATCTGTCCTCTGGGGACTCTGAGGATGTCACCTGTTACTTGTACCATCATGGCAATAATAAATAGTGCCACAGACCCCTGAGAAGAACCAATTCAGGACTCCTCTTCAAGAGCTCCTTCGGTTTGCTCTGAGAAATGTCGGGTGTAGTGCTGCAGTCCCCTCAGCCCCTGTTCCAAGATAATCTTTTGCTAACTATTGTTCATTTTGCAAAAGACACAGCACCTGCTTGGAACTCATGGCTATGAAGTATCAGAATGAGAATTAAATAAAATAAATATTGATTCTCCCCCTAGAATCTGCCAGAAGTCATGTAAAACAAGTCATTGAAAATCTTTACGATTCCTACCATTCCTCCTCAAGATCCGTCTAATTGACAGACTAGAAATTTTCAGAAAGATTTAATAACGAAATCATATCAGTAACAAGAATAATGATATTTAGAGTAAAGGCAAACAAAATACACACATATCCAGTGGAAAAAAAATCCAGAAAGATATATATCAAATGCCAATAGTGGTTGTATGAAGGTTGTTTCATGGGTAGTTTTAAATTCTTTTTTATTATCTTTTTTTTCCTATTTTTTATTATACATAATGTGGTCAAATATTAAAATGGTAGTTTCAGCCATGAAGAATATTAAAGGCAGTAATATCTGTTAATTTGCCAAATTATCAACATGTTAAGCTGAGGGAAAGACCACTTACAGTTGAAACAGTCAAGGAAACTTTGGTGGAAATGCAGAGAATGAGACAAATATTGAAGGGCTGAGGACAGAAGATGACTCTACGTATGGCTTTATAAATCTGTGAATGTTTTGTTCATTTTTACACTTTGGTTGTTTTTGTTGTTAATGAACTTTTATTTGTAAAAATAAATAAGCAAAATTGATGACTATGCACTTAATGAGTAATTGACATTAGCATACTAATTAGTTAGTGTGCTAATGACATATTGATATGTAATTATCATAAGAATGGGAACTATACTTGACAAAGTAGAGCAAGAGACTGTGTCTTCCTTTGAGAATGCTGGGTTCAGGGAGAGAGACAGGAGACAGGGAAGGGAATGAATGAAGTCTGGGAAATATGCATTATTACTGCATATCAAGTGCTTTCAAAACTGAGCTAGAGAAAGCTAGCACATCATGGTAGGTGTTGCAGACATGCTAAGGTGTTTGAACTTAATCTTAGGTTATTACTTATCAGCATCTTCTAAGCAGAGGAATATTCTAATGAATTCAGATCTGATTTTTCCTACTCTAAATGATTCAAAATCAACTGATGCTTTGAAGCTTTTAGTGATTCAATTTTTTTCTTCCTCCATGGAGTAATATATTTCTAATTTCAAAATTTATATAACCTGACATATTAATAGTGAAATGATATATATTAACTTTCTGAGATGATATAAATAAGAATCACGTTTAAAATGCATGCCACACATACATTTTTTTAGTCAATCATGTTGAAGTGTAGCCTGACAAGATCACTTACTAAAGCCTAGGAGGAGCTTGTATATTCTTATAAAGGACTCCTTGATCTGCCACATTTGATGCTCGTTTTTTTTCCTGAAAGCATCTTCTTGTAATACCCTAGTGAGCTTTCTCTTTTACATTTAAGAGAGTTCCAAATTTAAACATGTATGAGTTACAATTTCAGCAGAAGACCTTGTTCAACAAAGCACATATTTAAAGGAAGCAGGGAATGTGGATGGATGAACATCAACTGCACTATGTATTCCATGACCTAATTGGAAAAGAGGGATTTGGGGTCAAAGAACTCTCTTCCCAGGAGAAAATGACCAGAATTTTAACTGTGGCTCATTGAGGCTTCTAGAAAACCAGATGATTTAGCATCCACCGACATTTTCCCTGAAGGTGGGATGCTGCAGAGGGCTGTTTCCTAGGAAACACTGTTTATTGGTCTCTACCATGGTAAAACATCCAGGGGTTCTACACTGAAGTAATGACAGATTCAAAGATTTTTTTTGTGACCACTGAAGCTCAAATTTCATTGTGTTACCCATCTATGTTCATAATGAACACTGTATTTCTTAGGTCTTGAAACAAATAAATTGTAACAGTCATCAATTCTGAGTAGTCAGTGGTCAGATACTTGTTCTATCGATATCTTTTGTATTTTAAAATTTCTAAAAATTATTATATTGGCAACAGTAGAAAAATCGAGCTAAGCTTGTGAACTTCTATCAAATCTAATCATTTAAGTTTTTATTTCTACTTATTTCTTTAGGAAACATGTCAGTATTTGGCAAGAGAAGTTACATAAAAATAAATGTTAGCAACGTAACTTCTCTTGAGTATAATGGGCATGTTATTACAAAAACAGATATCTGAATAAATCTTGAAAGGCAGTGGGAAGAGATTTGTTTGGTAATGTTTGGGAAGCCACCAAGTTCTGTTAATGATAGACTTTAATAAAAACTGTGGTAGTACAAGGAGCATTTGGATGACATTGTATTTTAGGTGATAACTTCTGGACTACTGAAGTCTACTCTGAATCGTCAATTTCAATGTTTCCCTATCACCAAATATTTTTCATGGTAATCATCTGGGTTGACCATTGAGAGGTTATTTTGCTAAAAGTAATATAATTTCTAAATCGAAGTTGGCAGAAATAAAAGTACCCGAGATTATATCTTATTATTTTCATGATAATATCTCCCCCTTAGACCTGTGGCCTGACAAGTTATTTTTGAAGAAAAGGAAGCCAGATTGGCTAAGGGTCTATTTAACAAGCCTGCTATGGTCTATTGCACTTACTGCTATGGTCACTACGACAGTGGGAGACAGCCTACAAGGAATTTTTCCCTAGTCTCTAAAGAAGAGTTGCTATTAAATTTGCAACCAAGAAACACAAGGTTCTCTGGGGTTTTACCCCTGCTGGAAGTCTTGATTCTAGGGTCAGTTTTCCCGTTTCTTTGGCAGAAATGGGTGGTAGAAAACTACAGGTTGTTCTGATCCCAGAGCCCTCCTCATAAGGAGAATCAGGAGCTTCTACACAGAGCACTTCCAGATGTGTTTAGCACCCTAACTCACCAATTGGAGAGCCAAGGAGACTGCAGAGTATTTGGAGTGTGTGTGATGCCTGCTTTGCAAGCCATAGGCAGGTTCTGAGGATTTTTCTTAATAAATTGTGTAGTCATGCTTAGGGTCTCTCATGTACTTACTCAGGACTGGTTCACATTTAGCCTGCTTGACCAATGTTTTTGCCCTTTTCCCTGACCTGGTAGAATAGGCCTGGCTACTTGTTTAAGACTGGTTTCTTATAGGAGAAAGTTGTGTGTATCTTCTAACTACTCTATGGGTAAATTTTACTCCTTTGCTCCTTTCAGATAGTTCCTCCTGAGAGAAAGGATAGTATGGAAATAAAGGAAAGGTTTATATTAAAGAGTGGAAGAGATACAAGAGCAAAGGAGATCTCTCCTAAAAGAAGACAGCTCATGTGAGGGGTTTCAGCATTCTTGTGCAGGCTTCAGATGTTCTTGCTCTTCAACTCTTCTGTCAGCCTGTTGTAATTTGTTCTAGTTTAAATTTCTACATGAAATTGAGACCACATTTAGCTTGTGATAGCGGGCTCTTGATTTGAGACAATATTTATAGCTTTCTGATTTATAAAATTATTTTTAGCCACCAGAAATTTTATAATATAGCTTATCCCTAATATTCAATTGAGGACTTGGATATTATAAATGTATTAATCTAACATGATATTTAAATTAGAGCCACATAGATTTTTGTTTTGGTTGAGTCTTGCTCTGTCACCCAGGCTGGAGTGCAGTGGAATGATCTCAGCTCACTGCAGCCTCCGCCTCCCAGGTTCCAGGGTTTCTCCAGCCTCATCCTCCTGTGCAGCTGAGGTTACAGGCACGTGCCACCATGCCTAGGTAATTTTTTGTATTTTTAAGTAGAGACAGGGTTTCAACATGTTGGCCAGGCTGGTCTCAAACTCCTGACCTCAGGCAATTGCCTGCCTTGGCCCCCCAAAGTGCTGGGATTATAGGTGTGAATCACTGCGCCCAGCCAGATTATTTTATAAAATTAATAATTGCTTTTAATTGATTTGCTTTTTGATATAAATGGTTTGTCTAATCTACTCAAAACAAAGAAAAATCTGTGCCTTTTAATTTTGAAAAGCTATCTGGCATCACATTTTTCATTGTTCTTGACACAAATCCTATCTATATTTTGAGAGACTTTTATAATTCCAATCAAATGAATATACCTAAGAAACTGGGGAAAAATCACATTATATCAATAGAATATTATATTTTACCTTTATGGAGAAGCTCAATTATATTTATATAAATGATATAAAACATGATTTACATTTTAACAGATGACCAAATTTTTTGCCCTTTTGACCATATGTGACTACATAGCCATTACCAAAAAAGAAACAAAACAACAGCAGTAACTTAAAAGCTTTTAAACAAATTTTGTGTTCTTTCTGCAACTCCTGCAGAATAGGAAATGCCTCTAGCCCTCTATACATCCACACATCTGTGGAAAGCAACCTCTAAAGGCCACATAGTCCAATAATCTTATCAAAATGGTAAGACTTTTCTTTCCTTCATAGGAGAATTTTACATTTATTGACAGTAATTGACTATTTCTAAAGAAGTTAGGCTTTTTGGTTATGTTTCACATGAACAAAATCCAAGGTTATAGTTAGATTCTAAAATAACAAATTTTCATATAATCAACTGCCTGGAAACTTACCAGATTCATGAGAAATAGTCTTAACAGTGAGAAGCTTCACACTCTCTTTATCGGACTGAGGTCTATTTGAAACAGAAAATGTTAAATTAGCACCACAGTAATCAGCATTATATGTTTGAAAGTACTGTGACACATTGAAAGTACTGTGACACAAACAGAATGATGAAGATATACATGAACACATATATATATATATATATATTTCCATGGAAAAACTTTGTTTTTTATATACAAATACACATATACTTTTTAGCAATTTTTACTTTTTCTGGAATCAATCCAATAAATCTCTGCCACTCTGTTATAGTGGTGATTGTCAGATAAATTAAAAATTAGTGTGAGTTGTGTGAAACGCTTGTCACAAGGTCCATATTGGACATGTCTCCAATTCTGAATTATAGAGAGAAAGACATAGAAATGTTTCCAAACCTTTTGGGCTTATACTGAAATCTGGAGGTATTCCTTTTCATGAAGTCCTAAGATACTGTAGTACAGTATCTGAACTGCCTATTTTAATCAAGAGTTCTCACCTACCCAAAGGAGTTTCAAACCCTAATTCCTTCCTTTGGATATCTTAGGAGTCTCTATATTAAGTCATATAAGTTTTAATATAGCATTATTATTTCTAAAGTTTACAACCTTGTGAAACATAAAAATGCGTATATAAAAGTAGACCACAAATTCACGTCAACAAGGAAAACAGAGTTTGTTTTGAGACGAAAAACAATTCATCATGACTCTTTGCAGCACCTTGGTTGTTAGAGTTGCCTGGATTGCTAAAAATCTGCTTTGTTCATTAAGTCAAAGTAGAATCACCATCTACTTTAAAGGCACTGAGAACCGGCTCAAGGCAGAGGCACAATTTTCCCTGTGATAAACATATTAAAAATTTCACTGAGAAAACTATTTCAAAATTCTAGGTATTTTTTCTATGCTATTTGCCCTCATAATTATATTCATCTTCTACTTTTCCATTTCATATTTTTATCTCCCAATTTACCACATTAAGATTAAGCATGATCATAACATTTGGAATTTCTCTGTTAAATGTAGACAGCTCTGACAAATAGCCAAAGCCAATATGTAGTGCTTCTAGACTTTAGAAAATAATCCAAAAAAGTATGAGTAGAGTAACCATAATTTTCACTATGTAAATGGTAGGGTCTGGGAAAAAGACGCTATGGGCTTACTTACTGATCATTTCCATTTTCTGCTGTGCCTAGGAGAAAAGGGAGTTGGTATTAGAATTGCAAAGAAGTTGGCTACCAAAAATCTGAGCCCCCCAACTCCCTCACCTGCCACCCACTCTTTTCTATGCAGAGATGTTTTTAAGCCATTTAAAAATCTTAAATTTCTCCCCTGGCAAGCCATTTCCTCTGGTATTGTTAACATTTATCCTGGCATTCATGGGATAATCCTAATTAGATCAACTCCACTAAACTTAGTTCTGGACTAATCTTGATTTTGTAGTTTCATATCACTATGTGGAATTGTTGTTCATTCTTGCACAATCTCATGGACAACAGAAAATGTCTGTTTATTTCAGTATCTCTGAAACAATTCTATTAAAAGTATTGAAGTTTTTATACCAGAGAATTGAATTTTTTGACTTTCCTTTATACATTGTTCTTTCCGGGGACACAAATCACTGTGTTCGTGGTGAGCTACAATGTCGATACTATTTCTAATTGCATCTTAAACCTACTGATTCAGCCTCTCAAAAGAGCCCTGCAAAATGTCACAGAGGCTACTAACTGCAACTTATGTTTTCTACTCTTTGCCAGGCTGTTTCACAACTGTCTGATAGAAAACACCTGGGGTTTAGAGAGGGAACTCAGAATGATTCATTCTGTACAAGGCATGGCCTCTCTAGAGTGAATGTTGGTGATCAAATCTTGCATTAATCTATGGCCAATCAGGCCAGCTGTTTAATGTGATTGCATAAGGTCCCCTTTGCTGTGCTCCTTTGCTCTGGTTTTATTCCATTGCTACTCAGCTTCTGTTTCTTAGATTTCCTCTCATATCTAATCTAAATCTTGTCATTGAATATACCCTTTGAATATAATTCTCCTGGCTTTGGCTATCCTTGTTTTATAAAGACCTTAACCTCCACTAATATTTTGGCTGCTTCTATTTCTGTCATCTTGGCTAAGATATCCCATCATAACTTTGATCCCTAGGATTGAACCCATGGCACCATATGCTGCTCATCAATTAGACCTAACCTCATCTTTGCTCCATCATAGCATTTTTTGATTGTTATGTGTCATATACAACATCACCTGTGATGCTAATAGCCCTGTTTTAAAATGAGTTGATTTTTAAAAAAATTATAATTTTTGTGGTTATATAGTAGGTGTAGATATTTATGGGGTATAAGAGAGATTTTGATACAGGCATGCAATACGTAATAATCACATCATGGAAATGGTGTATCCGTCCCCTGAAGCATCCTTTGTGTTACAAACAGTCCAGTTATATTCATTGTTTCAAAATGTACCAATAAGTTTATTACCGACTATAGTCACCCTGTTGTGCTATCAAATACTAGGTTTTATCCATACTTTATGTATTTTTGTACCCATTAACCATCTCCACTTCCCCTCCATTACCCTTCCCAACTTCCAGTAGTCATCCTCTTACTGTCTAACTCTAGCTCTATGGGTTCACTTGTTTTGATTTTTTAGCTTCCAGCAATAAGAACATGCAGAGTTTGTCTTTCTTTGCCTGACTTATTTCACTTAACATAATGACATCCAGTTTCATCCACGTTGTTGCAAATGACAGGAACTCATTATTTTTCATGGTTGAATGGTACATCACTGTGCGTAAGTACCACATTTTCTTTATCTATTAATCTGTTGATGGACACTTAGGTTGCTTTCAAATCTTGGCTATTGTGAACAGTGCTGCAACAAACATGGGGATGCAGGTATTTCTTCTATATAGTGATTTCCTTTGTTAGGCGTGTATACCCAGCAGTGGGATTGCTGGATCGTATAGTAGCTTTATTTTCAGTTTTTTGGGGAACCTCCAGGCTGCTCTCAATAGTGGTTGTATTAATTTACATTTCCACCCACTATGTACAAGATTTCCCTTTTCTTCACATCCTCTCCAGCAAAATGTATTCACATTTTTATATGCTGTTTTAATATTTTTTTCCCTAAGAAACCATAGCAATAGTCTCATTAGCAGATAGATGCAAGCCAACAGACTACTTTCTGCATATAGGCCATTCTTATTTGGTTAAAACTCATTCCACTGCCAACCTTGTGCAAATAAGCTTAATTTCATACTGAAATCTCTGATTCATGTTGTCTTCCAAAGAGCAGAATGGGTTTACTAATTTCCTGAGCTAGATAGTCTCACTCACATGCTTGAAGAGTGATTAACTGCAGGTATTTAATGGTCCTAATTTAATGATAACAGTGCTATAAATTCTGTCTGAGAAACATAGTTGACAATCACCAAAAAGATTTGACTAATTGTACAATTGCCAAACTTGACTTTAAAATACTCATGTCTTCAGAATAACTATCCATAGCGGTAGGAATTTTACACATCCATAGAGGCCTCTTAAATAGAAAATGTCAACTTTTCAAATAACTTTTTAAATATTCTTAAATCTTCCTATACAAAGTAAATTTTTAGTATAGCATATTTTTACAAATAAATTTAGCACATTAATTTTTTTACCTATTCTATACATGCAACACCACAGGCTTCAATTTGGATTAGCTGATTTCCATAAAAGACAGGATTGGAAGCTCAGAAACTTACAGAAATTAAACTGATTTATAAAAATGCTGTTTCCCTTCTGAAAACTGAACAAGGAGGCATATTTCAGACAGTAAGAAGTTTATTCACTGATTCCCAAAGGAAAAGGCATCGATTTGTTTTTACTTTTCATCAAGATCTAAAATGAGCTCTGCTGCTTTGGTCTCCTAGCTTCTCCTAGTAATGTCACGATCATATTACAACTGTCCCTGCAATGTGTGGTCAGTAGGTGACTTTACGGATAGCATTCATTAGTGTCCTGGGAGCACATTGTCCATGAGGTAAACAAAGAATAATACAGCCTATGCAACATATAAAAATAATTGCTTTTTACCTTTTAACAGTTTATGAGACTTAGGTAGAGATTTTTTTAGTGAACATATTTAAAATTAAAGTGACAAAAGATAATTCTATTTACTGTACATTTAAAAATGTGACTCAATATGCATATAGTAAGGGCCTGCAACATAAACAATATGTGACTTTGACTTGGAGAGGTGGCCTGACTTTCAGTGGAGGGTAGGCACATGGAGAAGTAAGTAACTATACTATGGTATGATAAATAACATAATCCAAATCTGTAGTATTACAATTAAAGGGACAATTCATTTTGCTTGAAGAAGTGGCGTGTTATAAAACACAGTAAATTTGTGTTTGAGTTGAGTCCTAATGGGTAAGTTGGAGATTAGGTGTGTTATGAAAGGTAAGAGGCATGTTGGATATTTCAGAAGGAATAGTATGGTTGAGGGCATGGATAATGATATTACATTATAGAACCAGGGCAGGGTTGTGAAATAGAAAGACAGTTTGCAATTAAGGTAATGTGACAGCTGAGCCATGGGAGTTGAAGGGGTATTTAGGTGAACGTTGACTACAGAAAAGCCAAACTTCCTGGAACAGAAAAATGTCTGAATAAAGACTAAAAGAAATCAGAATTTAGCTAACAATAATTTATCAGTATTAGTTCATTAATTGTGACAAACATAGTATCAGATCCTAATAAAGGAATAAGGGAAACTAGGCATGGTGACTGCCTGTACTGTCTTTGCAACTTTCCTATAACTTTAAATCTATTCTAAAATAGAAAGTATATTTTTAAAAAGAATAAAAAATATAACACGGTCATGGAAGATACTTTTCATTGGGTGTGTCTCCAAGAAGGAAAATTAGTCATAGAACTTTTAAGATTATAGGTCCCTGTGCTGAATTCTTAGCAATCCCTCTCTTTATTCTCTGTTACATAGAAATGGAGTTGATCTTTACCATAGACAAAGTATGTCATTTTTATGCCCTCTTTACTCCATATTCCCCTGAGCACCCACAAAATTTGGGTTATTTTATTAAAAATAATTTGCCCACATTTGATAATATCTACGAATAGTAGTTAATCCCCACTCTGCAATTCACTAGCATTGAGTGGGTGTCTGTGTCCTTCGTCCTTCATTTCTGTGATCAGGAAATAATGACATTTCATTCCTCTCTATAACTCTTCTCTCCCTCTAAGAATTTAAAATCAAGTTTAAGCTAAGCATATATTCTTTCTTCTTTCAGGAAAACAAAACAAAACACTGTTACCTACCTGGGTCTGACTTCCAGCACACTCGGTACAAACCCACCAAAACAAATACTGAAAGTGTTATTACAATCAAAGCAATAACCACTGGCAAAATAATACCTAAAAAGAATTGGAGACATTGTCAATTAGAGTGGCTACTGCATTTCACAGAGATAGTTCAGTAAGTGAGCAAAAGCATGAGTGCTTCCTTTCTTCTTTAAACATCATTCTATTAAAAACACTATATTTTAGGCAAAGATTTATCTGATTCAGGGTTTTGCTCTAGTTGTCATTTTTGACGTAACCACTTGATGTCAGTCTTGTTACCCTTCTGAAACAAAATTCCAACCTTAAGAGAGAGTGCCCCCATCTTCCTGGAGACTGAAGAAGTGGGGAGATGAAAGACTGGAGAAGCAGAAGATGTACTCTAGATTATAATTAAACCCACATTCACTCATTACATTTTTTAGTACTTTATAATGAAGTTACTGGGAAAATATATATAACCCAATTGGGATTGCTCTAGTCTTAATGCTGGCTTTCTAAAACACAAATTTCTTTCTATAATAGTATCTTAAAACTAGAAAAGGCATAAAATAAGTAGATATCACAGTGAAGATGATTCTTAAAAATAAACATGATTCAAGAGAGATATGTGTATGTGTGTCTGTTTGGGGGAGTGATGCTGCTGCAGTAACTTAGGGTGAGTTTTTTATGCTTGTATTAGGAGGAAGAGTATTTCCTCCCTCCCTCCCTCCCTCCCTCCCTCCCTCCCTCCCTCCCTTCCTTTCTTCCTTCCATCCTTCCTTCCTTCCTTCTTTCTTTCCTTCCTTCCTTCCTCCCTCTCTCCCTCCCTCCTTCCCTTCTTTCCCCCCTACCTCCCTCCTCCCTTCCTCCCTCCCTCCCTCTTTCCTTCCTTCCTCCCTCCCTCCCTACTTCCTTCTTTCCTTTTTTTCTGATGGTCATTTCCAAGGTTAAAAGTACAGTGATCAAATCAAGAGAGCTGTCATAGACATACAACTAAAGGACATTAAGGTGATATTAGTTTACCATATTTGCTTGCATACATACTCCTTATATATTTATCAGGGGTAAGAATTATTCTCTAAATTCATCTGTAGGATGGTTTACACTTCTATTTATAAAACAAAGACAAATATTTGTTTTAAGTAAGTTCTGCTAATTTCCTAATAGCTCTTAAGTGAAATCATATTGCCTTCCAAAATGAAGATGCCGTGAATCAGCAGGTCAGTAATTTCTATGATGACTTATTTAATGGAATGGGTTTACCCAAACTTAAGAGAGCCTTTTATACTAACAGTTTTGAATCTATTCTTTTTATTCTTAATTACTAAGGAAATTATTTAATATTCTGTATTCAGTCTTAGCACACACATAAATGTTATATGACCTATATATGTTTTAGTTAAAATGGAACATTTCCTACAGGCTATTTTAAATGTTAAGATAAAGTTCTATGAAAGCAAACAATTCACTTTTTGGTATAATTTACTTTATAATTTTAATTATTTACTTGACAAAAATGAAATATATTCAAGGTATACAGCCTTATAACTTGGGAATAATTCACTTTTATGGGGACCTCTACCTATGCACTTTGACTTATCTGTAATAGTCCCATCAAATCATCCTTGGCCCTTGATGGTAATTGCTAAATACTAAGCTAAGAAAAAATTTGCCAAAGTGTGCTTCGCCCCACCCATCTTTTTTGTGTTGTTTGGTCATTAAGACCAGACTCATTTCTGGGAAATTTTCGGAGCAGGCAGCAGTTAGATAGGATTGTAGTGGGATTGCAGGCTCAGTAAAGTTGAGTAAAGGCTTCCCATAATCTAATTCCTCCCCTTTACCAGTCACATTAAAACATTCTGCCTATCTACTGCCATGAATGAAGATATTGCTGTTACTCACTGGAATAAGACGGGTTGGCTGCTGAAGCACTTGAATTTTTTCCATTCTCAGTGCCTATTATTTTAAGAAAGAAAAAAACAGTTACTTTTGTGCCAATCCCTGCAGTCCTCCCTCCACCCTCATTTAAGGAAGCCGCCATGATTTGTAGGTATGACGCTGCAAGTGCGAAAGATCCAGTCTCATTGTGAAGGAGCTTTATTTTGTGAGTCAAGATTGGTAGGGTTTCCTTGGTGAGAAAGGATCAAGTAGAGCTGATTTCCACCTAGGCACAAAGACATCATACCTTGAGACTGTAAAGTGCTTTCTGGAATTGTAGCTGGCATCGAGTGTGATGTACCAGTTTTAGAAGGTGACGCATCTGGTTGTAGAGTGCTACCTGCAGGAAAATTACAAATCCAGAATCAGACTCTGGTATTAAGTCTTCATATGAGATTTTTTTGCAGATTCAAACAGTTTGCCTTTCTGGAGATCTGTGAAAACTAGTAATGTTGAATAATAGGATACATACAATCACAACAATAAACTATAAGTTCATATACTCCTCCTGGAAAGATGATTAAATTTAGACTCACAAAGCCTGAGTTATCAGTTTTAGATCTTCAGAACTGGCCAAGAAAACTTGAGCAAGTCTTTTAGCATAGGTTACAGCCTGTATAACCTACTGTATAAGATCCTTGTGGAATGTGAATCTATGTAAAAGCGTTTTTCAAATTTCAGATATTATTTTATATTATTATTATAACTTTGGGTGATAGTGTCATTTTTCTATCACACATAGTTAAAATGATCATAACTGCATAGGACTTCAGATTTTATAGTATTTATCAGTGAATGAAGAGATAAAAATTGCAGTTCAGGCTTTGGCTACAAGAACTGAGGAAAAAATCAAAGAAGACTCCTTCATTTTCATCCCTAAAGTTCAGCAGCTGGTTTTATTATGTGCCTTTTCTACAGTAACTTCTGCTTGGCTGGTTTTCCACTAGTGTCCATGTTCTTTCCTTCCAAGGCAAATAGAAATTAAAAATTTATTGTTATTGTTATTTGTTTGTTTAGTTAGCATTTGCCATCTTCAAACAGAAGGACTGAAACAAAAATTATATGTAAAAATCGACTACTCAAAATCCATAGCTGTCAATAAGTTTAAAGGAATATAAATAATTAAGTATTATATAAGTTGAAACCATTTTTTCTTGTGAATTTGGGATGAAGTATAATTTGTACTTAGAATATTTTTTGAAATTTCATTCTCTTTCCCTTGCAGTATGAAGTGCTCTATTTAAATTATGCCTGTTTGCCTTGTCGCTTCACTGAATTGCAAGTTCCTAGAGTGTGAGGGCCATGCTTGTCACCCCACCCCACATGCAGCTCTGGCCACAGGGGGTGTGGAGTCAAATGTAGCTGACCGCTTGGCTGAACTAAGAGGCACCTCTTATGATACGGTTCCTTGGGCATATTGAGGCCATGTATAATTGCACCAAAGAAACTGATATTTCTATGACTGCCTTGGCTCATTCCTTCTTCACCACCCACATTCCAGCACGCACTGCATGCTCATGCATTTTTGACATCTGTGGGTGAAGAATAATGTTTAGAGTCTGTACTGTTCTTGCCATGCAAGAGATCTGTGGGTGGAAGCTAGATTTATGCCCATAAGAACAAAGAAAAATGTCAGGCTAGCACACTAAGCAGGCAGAAAAGGGAATATTAAATGAAAGAGTGGGAACTAGCTGAAACCTTGGTACTTTCAGCTGCCTTTTCCAGTGTCAAGTAGTTTAGTGAGGATGAATGCTCTTTCAGTTGTCTTGGTGGAGAATAAGGTGGCTAATTAAATAACCAATGATGTTAATCCTCTTGGGATTTCCCAAGGGTTAATTATCCTACCATATTACCTTCTCCTAGACAGGCTAAATGGCAGCCTCAGGGCTGACTGTAATCTGTCTGGTTCAGAAGAAACTCCCAGGTCCCCTGCTTCAAATGTGTTGATTGCCCAGTGCCAATGGTTACCATAATGACTCATAGATAGGCCAACATGTGAACTCCTCAAAGTGGAAGGATTTGGTGGCTCCTTGAACAAATGCTTTAAACATTTGTTTTGTTTTTCTTTAAACTGCAAACTTCAGTTGGGAAATTATTTCTGAATCCAGCACACACACACACACACACACACACACACACACACACTCCATACCACACACACACACACAATTACTGGTCATGACCCAATCATGGGAATTAACCCACAGTCTGAGAGCTCTGTTTTCCAGCATGATCATATTGCTGAAATTATGGTACTTGGCTGAATCCACAAAATGTGAGCCTAATGTTATTCTTTCTGTGACTAAGATGGGGAATCCATGACATGCTCAGAGCTGATGATCTACACAGTTTTCGTTGAGACCGTGTTATCCTACGTTACTAACAGAATAGCATTGCCAGAAGAAGTGTTGGAGAGATATAGCAGAGTGGCCAAGAGCATGATTCTTAAGACAGGGCAGCTGGGTTCAAATCTGACTCTAGCACTTACCCCTGTGGAATCTTGGGCAAGTTTCTTCACCTCTTTGTGCTTGAGTTTCCACATATATACATGAAAATTATAATAGTTATACATCATAGTATTGTGAAAATTATATGAGTAAAAATAAACTGCTTAGAAGGGTATGTAATATTAATATGTATATATTATATATAATAATAATGTTCTACTATTATATTACGAAGATGCCCCTAGAGAGTTGAATGTCCCAAGCAAGTTCAGTTTGTCTAATTTTCTCAAAAATTCTATGGGTGAAAATGTATGGACTTCACGTCTGTGTTTTCAGATGCTTCTTTGCTCTAGTCACCAAATAGAGGAGCTGGAGAAACTGGAGTAGAATATGGTGCTCTTAAATGACATACGTTTGTTCTTAGACCCTGACTTTTGGTGATTGTTATGATTATTGAATTTGTGGCTATGTTGTTTCAGGATTTAAGTCCAGTCTGGAAACTTCAGATCAGAACTTGGAGCAAGCTGATGAGGCAGAGACCCTCAAAGTCAAGTCTGTTCTAATAATGTATATCCAAATTTGCCCCATCAGCATCTGACATTGGTACATATTTGGACCTCACTGTAGACCAATTACTTAATAAATCATTGAGAGTTTTAAAGACAGAAGACCTATCAATATCCCAAGATACCTGTGGTTGCTGTAATAATGCTCCTCATAGAACTCAAATTATAGAGAGTGTAAGTGACCAAAGTTACCCACATTTCCTCTGAAACTCATCTCTTTGTTTGCACTGGTACCATGTCTCTCTAAGGCTGCTCCCAGCCAATGAGTGGACCTGCCACTCATTGGCAGGTTCCTGGCTTGTTCCTGGGAGAAATGTGGGCTGCAGGATTCCCTGATGGTCTTCCTGAACCTCCTCTAGAATGCATGGCCACCCAGGTGCTTCTGCTCAGGATCCCTGCTCTCTCCCCGCATCACTATGGTCAGATGTGTATTGCAGTCCGGTAGCTCTTCCAGACTGTCCTTGTCTCCTCACAGGCATTTTTTCTCACACAGGCATTTCCTCCTAATAAAATCCTTGTACTTTTAATTGCATCTTGAACTCTGCTTCTCTGAAGATTCAGATTAAAGCAGTCTCCCTGGCAAGTATTTAAAAGGCCACTTCCTATTGGGAGCAGAAATGAAGCCTCAGGAACTTTAAACTGGACATGGAAGACTTGGGCACTGGTTCTTAAGGGAAATACCTGTTTGTCTAACACTTTTATTTTCCTCTTTTTTGGGAAGCCTAACTCTTCCTGTGGAAAATTACTCCTTCTCCTCTTCATGTGGTCATAAGAGATGCCCCTTCTTACTCCAGCCTCAGGCCCACTATATGACCAACGTTCCCTCCTAAGAATTAGAGTGTGTAGTGATTTTGAGTTATTCTCAGAGTGAAGCTCTGAAGGGACTATCTATGGGTAAAAAAAATCCCTGAAATTACTAGGACGCAACCCTTTATTCTGTGAGTTTCACTCCCAAAATTTTTTTAGTTAAAAGAAATCTTGGGCCAGGTGTGGTGGCTCACACCTGTAACTGCAGCACTTTGGAACTGGTCTCTAATTGCAGTTTGATAGATTATTTATGTCCCATTTAAGAAAAAATAACTTTTCCACTTTCGACACAAATCTTTTTCTCCTGCTTATCACATTTTCTTTATGTGACTACAAAGAGAGCAGACTCTATTGAGTTTCTTTTTCGTTTTGGTCTCATTGGTTGGTTGTTCCTTTTCTTCTTTTTTTAAGAAATGTTTTTAATTTTTCTTTTTTTATTGAGACAGGATCTTACTGTCAGTTTCAGGATATTGCTGTCAATTTCAGGCTGAATTGCAGTCGTGCAATCACTTACTGGGCTCAAATGATCCTCCAGCTTCAGCCTCCTGAGTAGATTGGACCACAGGTGTGTACCACCATGCCCAGCTATGGATCTTGCTGTGTTTCTCAGGATGGCCTCAAACTCCTGGCCTCAAGTGATTTTCCCACCTTGGCCTCTCAAAGAGCTGGGATTATAGGCATGAGCCACCACACCTGGCCCCTCTTCTTCTTTCTAAATTATAATCTTGGAATGACCCCCAGGGTTTAGTCTTTGGTCCTCATCTCTAATGACCCTTATTTATTTGGAGATTTCATTCAATTTTAAGGCTTAAATACATCAATGTCACTGATTCCCCAACTTATACATCCATCCCAGGTCTTTTTTTAAACTCCAGATTTGTAAATCCAGACACTTACTTAGCAAGTAATAAACATTTTGAACTCAACATGTCCATACTTTAACTTCCAGGCTATCTGAAGCCTTCCCATCCTAGTTTAGAGCAGACATTCTTTTGAATTGCTCAGGCCAAAGACCTATTTTTGATTCATCTCTCTCTATTTTCTTCCACATGCAATCATCAGGAATATTTATTGGCTTCATCTCCAAAATAAATCCATCTACTCTGTGATCACCCTGGTTAAAGCCGCCATCTTCTCTCTCCTAGATAATGTATCCTTTTTTCAGTTGACAGTGTCTCTTCAGCTGTCTGAGTTATAAAGCATGAGTCAGCTCATGTAATCCTGCTGCTCAAAGCCCCCAGTGATTCACCATTCCACTTAGAAAAAAAGCCGAAGTCCGTGTGATAACCCACAAAACCCTAGATAATCTGTCTGGAAAATCCCCTGTCTCATTTCTATCCAATTACTTAAGGCCGTCCCTTAAACATGCTAGGCCTCTCCTCAAGTTCTAGCTCTGCCTGGATGTTCTTCCTCCTCATATTGTGTGGCTCACTTCCTTCTTGTACAGTATTTACTCAACCCTTTTCCGGGAGACTTACCTTGGCCGCATTTTTTAATCTTGCAAACCCTTTTCCACCTCT